GCAACCAAGCATTCTTTTATGGGGAAGTGACAAGAAAATTGTCAGAAGAAAACTATGAACAATTTCACTGTAGGAAAGAAGTAGGGGGAGAATAAAAAGAAACACATAAATTTGTCATGATATATAAAAAGAAATGAAATGAGAAACACGATTGAACCCTAAATCTCGCAACAAAAGACAAAAAACACTCGATCCAAGCCAAAATGAAGCAATATGGTCTAGGGCTTTATACTGCAAACAAAAGATGCCTACTTTACCCGCACATATGACATTAACAAAGCATAAAAATACACACACAGTCTGTATCGAACTAAAACCATAGCTTAACAAAACACAAAATGTAAATTAAAGAGAAAACCCACGATGAAACAAAGAGCAGAGAAGTTACCAAAGCAGGATTCAACTCCGCAATCTCAAGTGAAGCTAAAGATAATACACTTCGCTACTCTTTGCTCTCTTAAGCATCAAGAGAAAGGGGAAAATTCACTTCCAACAGTAGGGGAAAAAGAAAACAAAAAACAAGAGCAGAAAAGCGAATAGCTAGAGTCTCATATAGCGGGTGAATGTGTAAGATTGCAGCCAAAATGTTTATCTCAAATTCTTTCGGCAAAACCAGAAAGAGAGAGAAGCTTCTAATTGAGCTCACGTTTTTAGAGAGAGAAAGATGAACAGAGAGAAGAGAGAAAGGTATGTGAGCGGAGTGTGGAGGGGTTTTATGGCGGACGTCAAAAAATCCATTGGATCGGATTCAAACTTTTCCTTCTCGTTTCATTCTTTTTCTCTCTCTGAAATGAAGTCAATTCTTCTTGTAAGTTTGATGTATGTATGTTATGTGCTTATGTTATATAGCATATATCCAATTCACAATCAACACGAGTTAATACAAATAAATTCGACCACATTTTGAACTTATTTCAAACTGCTTCTTAATAGACTTTTAGATGTACGAGTCCATGTAGATAAATATTTATGTATAAGTCTAAATTAAGAATAGATGAAGATGTTTGGAGAAATTCATTTTGTATGAGGCTGCATTTGAAATCTATACATTTTATAATTACAAGTTCAAATTTCCATGTAAGTTCGAATGATAATAGAATTTGAAGAATTTCGAATTAATACTAGATATAAATTTATTTTAAATAATTTTTCAAATCTAGTCAATTGAAATTCACTATTTATCGCATCGTTGACGATCACATGAGTATGACTTTTCATTTAGATTTATCACCATCACAAGTCAACACAATGGATGCGAGTTACACAATGAACTTATAATGATTTCCATAAATTCACTCAAGGAGTATGAAAGTAGAAAATTTTTCAAGAAGATTTAAATCACTCAATACAAAATGTAACCTAAGTTTATTTAAGAAATAAGTTTTTCCATACGTGTGCTTCGAAACAAGCACTTTATCATTTGCTCAACACAATCATAAGTGAAAGTATATATTGATTTATATAGGTAAATTATTTTTTTAATAATGTCAGATTAATATGTCCACCACATGTTGGTAGAGATTAAAATATCATATACGAATATATAAAATTAAAAAAATAATAAATATATTTTAGTATGTGCACTGAATATCATACGAAGATCGAAAAATATAATACGCGAAGGTGTTTGGTTGAATAATAATGATATATTAACATGAGTTAATAATTAATATGTACTTTATACGAATAAGTGAGTATGTGTGTAACTATGTATGCGTAAGTCCTATTAAATCTATGTATGATGTTATGATGTATTTGCATGTATGTATGTGTATTGAATTATTTATGGATGTATTCATGTGTATGTATGATGGTATTGAATGAGTCGACATGATTAGCCACGAGGCTGCCCCCACCTCATCATTTGCTATTCGATTTGTTGTTCCCTTTTACCCTTAGAATGATATTTATTCACTACAATGCCACTGGATATTTTTTCATAATTAAGTTTTCTTTTAAATATTACTATTATTATTTTGTTATCATTCTTAGGGTGCGTTTGGTTGGAATGATTAGGCGTGATATCCTGCTATTTGTTATTGTATCAAGTTGTTTATTTTGTTTGGTTACACCTTGTTTAGCCCGTGAAACTCGCATAAGCCCGGTTGCCTTTCCTTTATTTTGTTATTCGGTATCCCAATCTTGTAGTGGGATAGTGTGTCATTTATCATTAATAAATAATTAAAACACCCAAAATACCCATCTTTCTTTCTTCATTTTCGTTTTCTTCATTTTCATCTAAATCTTCATTCTGTTGCTTCTCATCGACCCATACACCAGATTTCACCTCACCATAGATGCGGCCTCCTACTTCAGATCTACAAAGAATAGAAAAAAATTGGAAAATAAGATAAAAAAAAATTGAAAAAATGCTACAGAGGACAAATCTGATCATCCAAAAAAATGATTACAAGAGAGAAAAAAAAATCGCCGACACAAACCACAGACACGACGGAAGGTTCCCTTCGTGCAACCGTTTTTTCCATAGCCGCACTTCGAAGGTCGATTTCTCGGCACACCATAAGAAATAAGAAAATCAAACAAATTCAGATCCATATCCTCAATAAATTCAGCCCAGCGCCTGCCATTAAACTCTCGGCACACCAAAGGAAACAAGAAAATAATTTCTGACCTTCTTTGTGTGATTTGTTTTGGGATTTATGTTTTGCCAGAAACATCCGCCATGAATAAATGAAGCTTGTGTGATTTGGGATCTGTTTTGTGCCACATCCGTTGTGAGGGAGTTGAACAATTTTTTGGGATTTTAGGTAAATTCTAAAAATTTAATTTTAAATGAAGGATAGTAAAGTAATTTCAATATAAATGATAGAATTTCTAAATCTAAACCAAACAAGTTAACGTGCTAATTTATTTGATGGATAACCCTTGATTTTATCAAGTATGATTATATCATGCCCAATCCATTATTGCAACCAAACGCACCCTTATAGTTTATAACTTTTTGCTGTTTATTGGAAATTACATATTTGTTGTATTATTATATATAAATGCAAAATTTAGCTAATTTAATTATCAACTTTAATGGTGCATTATTTTAGATGTCAATTTATGATGGTTATATATCAAATTTTGGATGTTTCGTAGTAATACATATAACTCTTGACTTTTATTTGTGTTTACCAGAAACTTTATAATTATAAAATACATGATTAAATTAAATTTTAAATATATTAAATTTAATACACTTTTTATTCGTTAATAGTTCTTTATATATATTATATAATACATTAAATTAACCATCTTTCAGATATTTATGAATTAAAAAACTTTATGTATATATAAAATATTATACTTCGGGTGATCTTTACTTTTCTATAGTCACACTGCATGTATAAAATAAAAAATATGTATATTTATTTTTTAAATAGAAGGATCTATGGATTCTAACATGAAAATAATAAAACTAATATCTATGAGTTGAAATATCATATCTAATGTGATATGAAATATGAAACAATTATAAGATATATAACATGGATTAGAAAACTATTATAACAGAGTGATTCTTATGGTGCAGATGTCATTTTGATATAAATATAATGCACTTTTTTTTTCATGAAACGTATTTTTTAAAAAATATATAAATATATAATTTTTTTTTAAAACATATTATGAATAAATTTAATACTAATGCCAGAATCATACGCGAGACTTGTTATAGAACTAGTTACTTTGATCATAGTGATTGTACATTTGAAAAATAGAAGTGAGTAATTATATTCTCTATCTAAAATAAATATGTTTTGATGTATATACTATTGGAAAAAGGTGAAATTAAATTATGTTATGGTTGTTATCAAAGTAATATGAGTATGATTTTATATAGTATTAACTAGATAATTGGTTATAAACATGAACAATTCAATCCGCTATCCTGTCCACGTTGAGTACGAGTTAATATATCTTCAAACTCACATCCAAAAAATTAACATATTCTACATTATTGGTATGATATTCAAAATTTACAAAATCTACGCATTTTAATGTGTTAAGAGTTCGTAGTTAAGGATTTTNNAAAAAAAAAAAAAAAAAAAAAAAAAAGAAAAAAAAACCCCTTCATCTTCCTTGCATTTTGCATTCCCTCCGCTGGCCAACAACCTCCGCCGTGACATCGCTCTCCAACGAGGTGACGGGCGAGCTTCTCGTCCAGTCATCTTCCCCTTCTCGGTATGGCGTGTCTCCGTCTTCTGATGGTCATGGCGGAACTTGAAGTGGGGTTCGACATCTGTGCGGCGAGTTCGTGGTCACTGACTTCGTCTGCTGTAGTTGTGGAGGTAGGGAATGAGTCGTTCAAAGTCGTATAACCCCCTGGATCCTTATCGCCTCTGGTGCTGGAGCATTTGGGTCTAACGGGGGGTGTGGTCGGCTATCGTCGTTGGTGGTCGACTGTTGTCGCCCGATTTAGTGTTGGGGCCTATAGATGTGGTCTGGGTCGGTACTCGTGAAAGGAGTTCGAGCTCATTTGGTCCGAGTCTAGTTAGACATTGGTTGCAGTTTCTAGATCTAGGCCGAGCCGTGTTTTGCTTCTGTCAGAAACTGTGTCGCTTGGTAGCATTTGGTTGTCTGCTGGCGATTGAGAATAGTCTTGTTATTTGTTTGGTGTTTGCGGTTTGAATTGTGTTTTAGTTGTTGTGTTGGTATTTATTCTCATTTTTTGGAGCATGTTTTCTCATGTACATTTTAGGAGTTTGAATTCTCCACCTGCAAGGGTGAAGCTCCCTTTGAAGCCAGAGGTCACGAGATCGATCCTGACTATCGTGGGGAGTGTGAGAGGTGCATTGCACTGTCTCTGGAAGGATTAGTCCCACCCCTTTACGTGGGATCCCCTAGGCGTGATAGGCCTGTGCCGTTAGTTGGTGGGCTGCAGTGGGTGGTGAAGTCGTAGAGTGAATATAGGGATACCTCCCAGT